CAGGCTGGTCTCGAACTCACAACGATCCTCCTGCCTCAGCCTCCCGAGTGCTGGGATTACAGGCGTGCGCCACCACATCCGGCTACCCTAGTGGTTTTAAGAGAACAGAAAGGAAGCTGTTGAAGAGGGCCCTTCCACAAGGAAAAAGCTTTCCACGAGGAACAAGCTTGCCGGGCTTGGTGGCTTGTTCCTTGTGAGGACAGCTCTGAGAACTCAGAAGAGTAGCAGCTACCTCTCTCTCCTGAGTTAGAACCAAAGCTTAGCTCTACCGTACTTGGTAGAGCTGCAGCGTTGCCAGGCATTGCCGTGTGAATTTTGGCCTGTGTGTAGAAGAGGGATCTGAATGTCTACTAGTATCTTTGCTGCTGTAAAAAATTATCACAAATTTAGTGGCTTAAAACAAATTAATTTTCTTCTAGAGTCAGAAGTCAGAAATGAGTCTCGCCAGGCTCAGTCAGGGAGCCCGTGGGCTTCGTTGGTTTGGAAGCTGCAGGGGAAGATGTCCCTTCGCCACACCCACCTCCTAGAGGCCACTCGAATTGCTCGGTGGCCCCCGCCAGCAAGTGCCTCCTCCAACCTCTGCTGCAGCCCCCGCATCTCCTCCAGCTCCACCTCTTCTGTTTCCCTATTCCATTGGTAGAGACTGTTAGGGTGACTTTGGACCCCACCTGGTAGTCCTGTATAAAATGCCCCCTCATGAGCCTCAGTTTAGCCCTGCAGCGCTGCCTTTGTTGAGGGTGGCAGCGTATTCACAGGTCCTGGCGCCAGAACAGGGATAGCTTTGGGTGGCTGCTGTCTGCCTTCCACTCCACCAGTTTTCTGGAGTGATTTCAGCTCCAGGCAAACAATTAACAGGTGGGACAGAAGGCTTCTGAGCCCGCCAGCAGGAGGGCAGAAGCTGTAATCCTGCACTTACCAGGCTGCAGGGGGATGACGTCGACAGACAGCTACCAGGAACTAAGTGAGGGATCTCTGAGAGGAATCCCCGCTCTGACCCTGGCCGCAGGAATCTCAGGCCCTGACTCGGTCGCTCCCGGGCTCAGTTTTCTCCTGTGTAAGGAGGGGGATAGCACCTCCTCCCTCTCGGGGTCACGGGGAGGAGCAAGTGTGATGATGTATGTAAATGCTAGCCAGGGCAGGGACAGGAACCCTGGCACTATTGTCATAGTCTGTGTAGACTGAAGGTAAACACACTGATTTTTAAAATACATGTATTTAAATTTTGTTGTTGTTGTTTTTTGAGACAAGATCTCACTGTATAGTTCAGGCTGCCCGTCAGCTCACTATGTGGCCCAGGCTGGCCTCAAACTTTTGACAGTCCTCCTGCCTCAGCCTCTGGAGTGCTGGGATATTTTAAAATTTGTAACCTGCAGGGTACAGTGTGATATTTCAAGGCATGTACACACTGTGTAATAACCAGATCAGGGTAATTAGCCCACCCCTCATGGCTAACATTTACCATTTCTTCATGTTGTGCACATTCAAAAT